TTGAAGGTAGAGAATTATTTTGTCTTTTTCGACCGATAATGTTACACCAGCGACACTAAAACCTGGAACAATGAGAAATAGACACAGAACAATCCGGAACAACTCTCAGTTTTGTCAGAACAAACGTTTAAAGAGCACTTTACTCTTGAAGGTAGAGAATTATTTTGTCTTTTTCGACCGATAATGTTACATCAGCGATTAGTGTCGATTAGTGTTTTTTTTGAATTTTTTTATTTTTTTAAATATAAGAGTAAAGTGCTCTTTATACGTTTGTTTTGACAAAACTGAGAGTTGTTCCGGATTGTTCTGTGTCTATTTCTCATTGTTCCAGGTTTTAGTGTCGCTGGTGTAACATTATCGGTCGAAAAAGACAAAATAATTCTCTACCTTCAAGAGTAGAGTGCTCTTTAAACGTTTGTTCTGACAAAACTGAGAGTTGTTCCGGATTGTTCTGTGTCTATTTCTCATTGTTCTAGGTTTTAGTGTCGCTGATGTAACATTATCGGTCGAAAAAGACAAAATAATTCTCTACCTTCAAGAGTAAAGTGCCTTTTATATGTTTGTTCTGGTGAAACTGAGAGTTGTTCTGGGTTGTTCTATTCGTTTTTAGCTTAAATATGTAATTTGGTGTCAAAACATAATATAATAATAGCGATAAATGTAAAAATACTAATTTGGACGCTTAATGCTATTTTTTGCTATATCTTTTTAAATTCTTTTTTAGGGGGATTAATATTTTAGAACAATGTTTAGAACAATTAGAACAATCCAGAACAGCAAAAAAATTTGAATTTAAAAAAAAATGGGTGGCCACAAAAATAAATCGTTTTTTTGCTTTTCCCGTCATGTTTTTCGATTTTTTTGTTCATAACTTTGGAACAATATAGAACAAACGTAGAACAACCTGGAACAACTAAAAAAATATTCAAAATCGAAAAATGGGGGGCTAACTTCATATAGGCGGACGTTGACTACTGTACACTACTGTAACTGCGAGAGTGTAAAAGCGAAGAAAGCAATGCGCACTACACGATCGTAAAGTTTTATATTCGCGAAGACAGACACTTTCCGAAATTTTTCTTATTTAAAATTTAATACGGACAATTAGCCAATTTCGATAATATAATATAGTTTTTATTTTCACGAAGCAAACTATAATGAGTCGCTCGCACACCGAGCTTTCCATGATCAAGATTGTCTCAAGTCAATGTTATTAGTTTGTGTGTACTGGCCGCTTTTTATGATGATCAACAGCGGTTATCGAGATTCGTGACGGCTCTTTGACGATACTTGAAAACTGTTTCTAGAATACTTCATAAAGTAATATTTGTCAAAAAATTATACGCAATATAATGTTGCACGAGATGTATCAAGTGCGACAATGATTTATTTAATTTAATTTGAATTATGTAATTTGGTGCTTTTTTCGATACTATTTTATATCCCGAAGCTTTTTATATCAAAATGAATGGTTCATAATGATCGGTATTATAATTTTCTAATTCCTGTCATAATATGAGGATTAATGCATAAATAGTATATAATATTTGTAAAAAAAGATCGTGCAATTTTTCGAAAAAGGAGATTACACCGAAAAGTAATCACAATAAAAATTTTCTTTAGTATGCTACGTAAAAGTGCAAGTGTAATTCAGTAAAAGCCAGCATTTCTTATTTTTATGAATTTTTGATTATAATATAGTAATAAGTGTATGTTAAATGAAATTTGTAATTATACAAAAATAATTATTTATAATATTATATCTTGTTTGCAAATATTATTTCTTTATGTCAAAAAAAAGAAATTATATATTTATTATATGTAAATCTCAAATGCAACTTGTAAAAAATTTTAGACAAATGTACTATCTTTGTTTCTTCCTTTCGTCCTATTGTATGTGTGATAATCGTTATAAATTAACATTAATATGAATACATTGCACACGAACATGATTACGGAAAAGATAGAATGGCATAGTTAGAAACAAATACTTTCGCTATTTTTCTTCCAAGTGTTTTAGTCCGTATCTGATTCAAAACATTTTTGATGTTCAAAAATTAATTGTAAATAAAAATAAAATTCAAATTTTTGGAACAAAGTACCCTAAAACTTAAATTACATAATTGATACGATTTTGACTTTAATTTCGTAAAATTATTCTTTGAAGCACAGCTTGATGTAAACTAATAACACCACAATTCACAGAAATCTTTTATGAGGAGGTATTACAATTTTATGCACTTTTCTTATGCTTGCATCACTTGCTAGTGTAATGCAGAAATAATAACATAACAAAGTAAATTAATAAAATTGATCATTATTCAGCTGCAAGTTTATTGCAATTTTCTTAGCATGTTTTTAATTAATGTCCATTTATGTTAATATCTTTTTTAATTACAATTTATAATTTAAAAAAGGAATTATTTTTATATCTTAACAATTTATCAAAATCTTTAAATAATGAAAAAAAAGAAAACATATCAATAAAATATGTACCAATAAATTAATGATGTTTCAGCAACACAGTTTTAACGAAATTTTTATAAATTGTTCAAAAATCTAATTACAAGTTGAGTATAAATAAATTTATCGCATATCATTTTCATGCAACATGTTAAAAAGTATAAAAGTAAATGCTTATTTTCATATTTCTGTAATCAAAGTAGCAATTGTATTTATCAGTATCAATAAACTCTGCAAATTACATACGATATCCCTATTATTTTATGTAAGTAATAAAATATCTATTTTGTAAAAATTATTTGCTTATAAGATATGTTGTAATATGTTTTACACAAAGTTCTTATTGCCACATAATCTAGTATGCTACCGCGTCTCTTGATATTGATTGGATGGATTTGGCTGACGTATCAATATTTACATTAAAATGATAAACTATACGTCTTCCTTGTCTCTTCTATCGCGCACTTTTCGGTAGAAAGTCTCTTCGATAGAAAAGTTCCTATTCAGTTATCAGCGTCCTGTAAGTTGGAACGGACACAATGTCAATTGTAGTAACTAAAGAAAACTTATGGCAATATTACGTAAAGTTGTCGGATTACAACGCAAAATGCAAATTTTGCGAAACTAAATTTACTTATGTGTTGGATAATTATTTCCATAATGGACATATAAAAATAAAGCATAAAATAATTTGCGATCAGGAAGAAGCAAAAGGACGACAAGAATGGCCATGGATATTTTTCAAATACGTGTACCGGCCTACATTCTACGATTTTCGTTCAGAATGTCTTTTGTGTGGTGCAAATTTTTCACCTAAATTTCTATTTTTAATACATCATTTACACGAGCATTCGAACAAAGAAGTGGAGGATTACGAAAATCACAATTGGTTTTGGAAATATGGTAGAAAAAGTGATTTTGAAATAAAGTGTAGTATGTGTCCTCAAATTAATTACGGTTTGTTGATGAACCCGACTTTAAATACTCATTTTTTAAATATACATTTGGACAAATTAGAAAATGTGCAAGAAACACTCGACATAATTTCTTCATTCAAATGCGTTTTGGATTCAAAAGTTGCAGAAATTAAAGAAAACATGTGGGAATATTATAACAATATTCAGCTTCAAGTAAACTGCAAATTTTGCGAATATAACAGCTTTTACATACACAGCACCTTTAGTTTTCGTAGACATATAAATAAACTGCATACAGAAATTTTTGATTGGGAAAACGAGCACAAGGAACAGATATGGCCATATGCATATTTTAAGTATTGTTGTCAATATATTGGCGATAAAATGATAATGTACTCAAAATGTCTAATCTGTCGTGACGTTTTTGCATTTAATGATAAATTAGCAGAAACTCACTTAAAAAGCTTGCATTCTAAAGATATAAAATATTTCTCAATCTATGCAAAGGACGATTGGATATTTAAATATTGTAATCAAAATGGTAATAAGATAAAGTGCAATATTTGTTACACAAGCACGTCTATCCATGTGTTACTTGCTCCTCTTAATCATACAATTGAAGAGCATTCGAATATATTGCAGTGGAATATGACGCAAAAATTGTGGCATAATTTCATAAATATGCGGAATTTTCAAGCAAAATGCCGATTTTGCAATTTTCAATCTTATTACATCGATACAACAAACTTTATTAAACACGTAAAAGAAGAGCATATTGGCGCATATAATTACGAAGAAGCAAAC